AAATGATTGTTTTTAAAAGGAAATCAGATGTGGAATGATGAAAAGAAATTGGAAAGACCTAGATGAGGTCCGGCTACGCCTGTGTGATTTCCAACAAGTCGTTTGTTTAAAATCTCTGAGCCTCATTTTTCTCATTTGTAAACAGAAATAGAGTAGTCCCCCCTTATCTGAGGGGGATGCATTCCGACACCCCCAGATACCTGAAACCATGGATGGCACCAAACCCTGTATACACTCCGTTTTTTCCTACATCGTAATAGGCAGGTAGCATGTACAGCATGGATACACTGGACAAAGGGATAATTCACATCCTGGACAGGATGGAGTGGATGGCTAGAGATGACATCACGCTACTCAGAAAGGCATGCAATTTAATACTTAAGAATTGTTTGTTTCTGGAATTTTCCCCTTAATATTTTCCAACCACAGTTGACCACAGGTACCTGAAACCACAGAAAGCAAAACTGAAGATAAGGGGTGACGGCAATAACACCTACTTCACAACATTGGTGCGAGAACTAAATGATTAAGTGTCCGCAAAGATAATTCATAAACTGTATGGCACAATATTAAAGTGAAGTGATTGTAGACAACAAAATAGAATGCAGTTTTTAAAAAAAATTCATCTTTACAAAAAATACCTTTGCCTCAGCCTCCCCAAGCTTTCGTTGGGTAACTTCTCCAGGAAATAATAGTTTTCATGATTCTTATCAAAGCCCATTTTCTATCATCTAAATTTAAATCAAATTTAAAAGCAAAGGACATCTTTCGTGCACAGATTGTATTGGTTGTAATGCTTTTTCTTTTAGTGAATTTCTGTGTTTATTCACTGAGTGATGAAATTACATTCTCCCTGGTCTGTTTCTCCTGGGACCAGGGCTATACAAGGCACATGCAATGATGACAAAGGTTGATTTTTCCCTAAGCAGACCATTCTTTACAAATCTTCGGTGGTTGCTAGGTCTCTAGAAGGGAAATAGCCAGAACAACATTTTGAGAGTGAAAATAAGCAAGATGGCCAGATTGCAGTGTCAGATATAATGCAACTACAAGCCGATAGGAAAGGCTGTTCAATGCCCAAGGGAATGAGAAGGAAGTCTTGAATACCTGGCTGAAATACACCATCTTGATCTGATCCATAGAGGTCGAAGGGGTAGATTCTGGAATAAGAAAACATCCTGATGAAACTAGTGTTTAGGAAAGATTATCCTAGCTGTTCTGTGCCAGAATCAATCCGTATATATAGTTTCTAGGCTTCTGAAGAGGCTGAGGGAGTAACTCAAATGCAGAGTGATGAGCACCAAGTTAATAATATTGATAGTGCAAATAGAGAGGAAAGGTTAAACTTGAGAGACATTTTAAAGGAAAAATAAATAAGATGTGGTAATGGATTAAATATTTGGAAAAGCAAGATGTTAAAGATACTCCAAGGCACTAAGAATAGGTTACTAAATAGGTGGTGATACTATTGACTAAAATAAAGAAATTGAAAAGAATTTTAGGGTGAGTTAAGGAAAGGTGCAACATCATTTGAATGAAGTTTCCTCTAGGCAATGCTGTTGAAGTCTAACATCTTTAGCAGCTAACTTCCAGCCTTTTAGAATAATTCTAACATAAAAATAAAATTTCTAAAATTGATCACTAGGAAGCTTGTATGAGCTGAGCACAATATGACGTGTGAAATACCATTCCACAGACTTTTTTCCCCAGCAAGATTATAAAGACTTTGTAAGTTCATATGAATGTAGAATGCCTTGGGATTTTCATTAGCTTCTTAACTTGTTTTCTTTTTGACATTCATAAAACTTTTCATCTCATCTTTGCAAGGTGTTAGTTTCAAAAGAAACCCATTATTTACACTGTCTCATCATTTTCAGTGGAACGAATTTCAGTATTTTCCTTAGCTCTTGGTAACGTTATGTCTAGTCGTGTCAATACTACCCAACATTGTAAAATAAAATTTTTTCTTTTGGTTCCACAGGATCAGCACCTTAGCATGCTGGAGTATCATGTACCAGTCACAGCAGGAGGAGTGGCAAACATTTTTGATTTGCTGGAAACCAACAAGATTGCTTTAAATATTACAAATTTCCTAGTGAGTCAGACCACTCTGGAAGAGGTAAGATACGATGCATGTGCACAACTTCACATATTAATTATTATGCATTTTGGTTATTTCTTTTTAATGACATTTAATTTCTTTTTAATTGAATTAATATCTAATCTTGCACCTGAAAAACTCAGCAAAGAGCCTAATTAATTTCTGACTTCATGTGGGGATTTTTTTTAAAAAAAATATGTGAAAGGCACTATTTTTAATAGAGAAAAAGAGTTTTTTTCTCCATTCTATACAACATCTATATCCATAAGATTATATGTATACATAAGGCAACAAAACACTATTTTCACCAACAAAACAAACAGCTATGAACATTTTCCTTAGTTTCTCCATGGTAGGTTTCTTAAAGAACATTTCTATTGATTGGCTTCCTGGATTAGGGTGGGATGGGGGTAGTTAGAGAGAATTTGGTACCAGACCTTTAGATCTGCTCAATTCAGGCAATTAAAGTGGCAAATGCAGAATCCTTTCCTTTCATTTACATCATTTGTCTTAATTACATTTACATTCAATATCTAGAGACTTCATAGATAATCCTTTATAACCTCTGTACTGTCTTAATTTTGTACAGTTCAACTAACATGGCATATTCAGTGTTCAATCGCAACTATCATTGGGATGGATCTGAAAGTAAGGCCTTAGGAGCCTCTGAGTCATTGTGTGGTGCTGCGTTCTACAGACAACTTCTTTATGTGGCTTTAGGCATTTTAATGGGGGCTTTCGACAATCATGGCTTCGCTCACACAGAAGATTTAGTCTTTGACTTATGACCGGCTACCAGCACCATGCCTGGCAAAAAAAGACTCTCAAATCATTTTCGGATTAATCTATGACTAATAGATTTAATGATTTTAAACAAAGTAAAAAGGTCTGCCTGTTAAATAATTGGCTCACTGAATATGCTGTTAATATGGGCTTTCTATACAAATTTTATTTTAGTGCATTGACTCTTAAAACTAATGAAACTTCTCTCAACATTTGTGAACAAACATCTGATAAGGGCTTGAGGCTGGGCTCCTTGTTTATACTTGATATTGATATATATCACATGGATACAGATATGTGGCTACAGATACTCAGTTATAGCTTTAGATTTAGATGATGGTTTTAAATATAATCATAGTCATAAATACAATCATAGATATAGGTGCTATTTTCAAACCCCAGTTATGTTTGAATATCTAAAAGGTCTTCTAGTGAGCATGTGTATATATGTGTGAGCATGCCCCTATAAAATCTAGTTTTCTTATTTGCTTTTCCAGTGTGTGTGTGTGTGTGTGTGTGTGTGTGTGTGTGTTAATTAACCTTATTTCTTCCTTTGGCCTACTGGGCACTAATGGTTTTATTTTCCTTGAAAAATCAGGTTTTCATCAACTTTGCCAAAGACCAAAAGTCCTATGAAACTGTTGATACCAGTAGCCAAGGTTCCACTATAAGCGTTGACTCACAGGATGATCAGATGGAGTCTTAACACTTCCAGCAAACTCGATCTCAGACTATGGCCAATGGCTTCATTTTGAGAAAAAGCCACAGAAGATACCACTTCTTCAAAATGTCATTTTAAAGTATTATTTTAAGTATTATTCTGTATGGAAAGTTACAATTGTGTAAGATTAACCAGTATCGTAAATGGAAAGTTTTTCCTTGTAAGGTCAGTGAATGTTGTTGCTACTGAAACGAATTCCCGTACACCCAGCACTATGAACGTGCTAATAATGTATATGCGGGTGATTCTCAGGCAAAGGTGAAACCACCTCTAGATGAATGTCTTAATTTATTACTTTCAATAAAAAGACAGCTTAAAAGGCATGGATATTGGTAGTTGAAAAGTAAGAATGGAAAAGAAAAGTAAGATGGTTTGTGTTAGGTAGGGCTGGGCGAGCAAACAAAATAATTTATTTCCAGGAAAATAACAGAATGGGCATCACCATGAGTATGTGAATCTACTGTGACGTGTGAAGTGCTAAGGGCCACATTAACATTTGCAGAGCAGTGGGTACAATGTCCACGACATACGTGTATGTCATTTTCAGTACCTGTGAATACCTGGGGACATAAGCCAAAAAAGTGCTTTTCCACAAGAATGCAACAGAGAGGGCAGTTTACCCTGGTGGTAAACTGCCATGCCTTGCCAATCAACAGTAAGGTGCAAGGTCGAGCAAGAAGCTACTTGTACTCTGGGGGTGGGGGGCAGAAATGGGTGTGTCGGCTGGGCAGATACAAGTCCTGAAAAGAGAATTCATGTGCTGCTGGCAGGCAACATTTTTTAAAAACTCTTACAGAAACTCTCATATTCCAGGTTTCTTCTCAGGAAACATTCCTGTGGAGGGAAAATGAATATGAAGATAATTTTCAGCTAATTACCTGGCTGACCCAGAATCATGTGAATGGCTATAGAATAGACTAAATAATGCCAAACGACATGGCCCTCAGTGCTTTACGTACCGTGTATGTATGTGTGTGTGTGTATGTCTATATAAGTTTGCCAGCTTTGGCATGACTGTTTCCTCTTCAAAAATCAATAAATTCAAAGTTTAGAAAAGATCATTCATGCTGTCATTTCATTTGTTAGGGAAGAGCCAAGAAACAAAAAATAGGACTTATGTGGCCTGCAAGGTCCCATGTGATCTGGCCCGCTCTCTCCTGGCCACCCTGTCCCCACCATGCTCCCTTTGCTGTTTAGAACGAAGCTGTGCTGGCCTCTGCAGTTAGTTCTTCCAGGGCTCCACACGCCTCCCCATCTCCAGACCTCTGCACACACCGCCCCCTGCTGGCAGTGCTGTTCCCCCACGCCCTGTGCCTGGCTAAGGCTTCAGAAATGTCATACTTTCCCAGAGGAGTCTGACTACCCTGCTGTCTCATTTTAAAGCTGGCTCTCCATTCTAATACTGTATTTTGTTGTACCTGCCTCCTACTTTTCTGTCAGAGCATGTATCATAATTTGTAATATATCCAGGCTAACTATGTATGTATGTGTATATATATTAACAGATGGCAACATCATTTCTCTCAGGATAGCAAATGTCTTTGTTGAGTACAACATATAGATGAGCCTTGTGGAGTAGAAGGTATAACTCTGAGCGCACGAGTGTCTTCAGAAGCCCAAGTAACAAAATAGATAGCCAGGCTCCCTGAAAAAATAAAAGGAAATTTTTTGTTGTTTATTGTCTTTGTTGTGGTTGGTTGCTCGTTTGCTTCTGGGCAGCGGTAGGAAGGGGAGCGAAGAGAAAGGAGAGAAAGGACGTGGAAGGAAAAAGCACCAGTGGGATGGTGGAAGGCTGAGCGTTGAAAGAGATGGAAGCCCAGTGAGAAGGTGCAGCCCTGCTGTGGGCTGTGCCTGTTACCACTGAATGTGGGTTAGAGTTAGCCACGCGTGCACATGCTTTAAGTCAATGTGTGTCTTGTGGAGACTGAGGAATGGATATATTAATGCCTGTTTTGACAGAGGTGCAGAACAGTGACTGCTTCATCCCAGAATGGGCACCTAAAGGCAGAGGAAACCATGAGACAGGAAGGCCAGCCCGGGGACACGTGCCAAGCAGAGCTTCCAACCAGGGGACACGGCTCGGGGATTCCAGCCCATCTTATCCACCCCTCAGTGGGAGGAAGCCCCAGCTGGCCTGTGGACCCCAGTAGTTGCACCTTTATTTGAGTATGTAGTATTCCTCTCCCTCACTAGATTAGAAACTCTATGAAGACAGGGATCTATTTTAATCTTCCTGGTTTTCCCACCAGTATCTACATATACAATAAATATTTGTGGTACTCAGTAAATATTGGTTGATTAAATGAATAAACAGATGAGAAACAAAAGAGAAGCTGGCATGGTTGGTATAGAAACCAAGCATCCTGACTCTGTTTACACTTTTGAAAAGCCGTGAAGTTTCCCATGAGGGAGTTTATTCAGGGAAAAGAAAAAGGAAAGATGCTGCTTCATTCCGTATTGCGCATATTACAGTGAATCCACTGCTATGGGAAGATTTTTGTAACTTCTATGGAATTAGAATTTGAATGCTTTGCTTTTGTACATTTCTGCACATATATTTTTTCTTTCTCTTTTTGTCTGTTAGGATGTACTATGTAAAAGTTTCATAGTACATTTTTACATATAAATAAGGAACGCACATAAAATATACTTGAACAACTCACATCCCTTTGGGCTTCTCTGTGGTAGAAGAAATGTTTTGAGAATTCCCAGTTCTTGGAGGACTGCCTCCACTCTAGATAACACCTACAGGATCTTTCTTTTTATGTGAGTTACCTGAATTACCTCTGAGAATTGTGGCAATTTTCACGTCATGTATAAAACACAATTTTTATAATATTAAAACATTGGATGCAAAATCCCAGGGATGGAAAAATGATATGTACAGCTACCTTCTTCAAATATGCTCGCTGCCTCATAGATCCTGGACAAACAACAATCACCTGAACTTGTAAACAGACTGTTCCCCAGTCGGACATGCAGATGAGAACTCAGCCCTGGTCAACACCTTAATTGCAGCCTTACAGAGAACCCAATTAAGGTGCGCCCAGATTCCTGACCCACAGAAACCGTAGATAATAAACATGTGTTTCTTCAAGCCACAGAGTCTGTGGCAACAGTGTTATGCAGCAATAGATAGTTATTAATAATACTCATAGGTAGACTAAAAACTCATATCTAACGCCTATATAACCTTAACTTTCATTTTCTTCTCTGATGACATTTTTCCCTAACATTATCATTCCCAAGGTATGTACCTCTCGTCATTATTTGCTTAAGTATGTAATTAATTACCTATCCACTCTGATCTTCAAGATGATTTTTATTCCTCTCTTTCTGTTTAAGGCATTAACCTTCTGATTGACTTTTTGCCAATTTTTTATTGTGATAAACTACAAATAAGATTTTTTAATCACTTTTAAGTGTACTATTCAGTGGTATTGAATACATTTATAACGTTGTGCAACCATCACCACCATCCATCTCCAAACTCTTTTCTTCTCATAAAACTGAAATTCTGTACCAATTAAACAAAAACTTTCCATTCCCCCACTCCCTCTAGCCCAGAACAATCACCATTCTACTTTCTATCTTTATGATTTTGACCACTCTAGGTACTAATATGAGTAGCATCATACACTATATTTCTTTTTGTGTCTGGCTTATTTCACTTAGCATAATATCCTCAAAGTTCATCCATGTGGTAGCATACACCACAATTTCCTTCCTTTTTAAGGATGAATAGTATTCCATTTTATGTATACACCACATTTTGTTTATCTATTCATCAGCCAATGGACACCTGAGTTGCTTCCACCTCTTGGTTATTATGAATAATGCTGCTATGAACGTGGAGGTACAAATGTCTCTTCAAGACCCTGCTTTCAATTCTTTGTAGTACATATCCAGGAGCAGAACTGCTGGATCATATGATAATTCTATTTTTGATTTTTTCAGGAATCACCATACTGTTTTCCACAACAGCTGTACTATTTTACGTTCTCACCAATGGTGCACAAGGGTTCCAACTTCACATCTTTGCCAACATTTGTTATGTTCTGGTTTTTCGATAGTAGCTACCCTAATGGGTGTAAGGTGGTATTGCATTGTAATTTTAATTTGCATTTCCCTAATGATTAGTGATATTGAGCCTCTTTTCATATGTTCATTAGCTATTTGTATATCTGCTGTAGAGAAATATCTATTCAAGTATTTTGCACATTTTTGAATTGGGTCGTTTGTTTTCTGCTGTTGAGCTGTTGGAATTCTCTATACAGTCTAGATATCAATCCCTTATCAGCTATATGATTTACAAATATTTTCTCCCCATGTATAAGTTACACAATTTTTTATAATTGACATGAAGTTCAAAGTTGTTTATTTTTTTCTTTTGTTTCCTGTGCCTTTGGTGCCATATCAAAAAACCACTGCCAACTTCAATGTCATAAGCTTTTACTCTATGTTTTTTTCTAAGGACTTTATAGTTTTAGAACTGAAATTTAGGTCTTTGACCTATTTTGCATTAATTTTGTATATGGTGTTAAGTAAGGGTCCAACTTCATTCTCTTACATATGGATATCTAGTCTTCCAAGCACCATTTGTTGAAAAGACTGTCCTTTCCCCATTCAATGGTCTTGGCACCCTTGTCAAAAATCATTTGACCATATATGTGAAGGTTTATTTCTGGGCTGTCTATTCTACACCTTTGGGATGTATATCTGTCTTCATGCCAGTGCCACACTGTTTCATTACTAAAGCTTTGTAATAAGTTTTGAAATTAGGACGTATGAGTCCTCCAGCTTTGTTCTTCTTTTTCAAGACTGTTGTGGCTATTCAGGGCCCCTTGAGATTCCACATGAATTTTAGAATGGACTTTTCTATTTCTGCAAAAATTTTCATTGAGATTTTGATAGGGACTGCATTGAATCTGTAGAAAGATTTGGGTAGTAGTGACATCTTAACAATATTGTCTTCCAATCTATGA